TGAGTATTTCAAATAAACCTCCCATTTACCCAATTTTTTCTATTTTAATATTCAGTCTTTAAAATGAATTATTTCCTACTAATTAAAAAAAAATAATACTAATAAAAATTTAAATATAAGATCTAACAATTTGCCATTTTTCAATCCTTTTTGGTCATACATTCCACATCCACTTAAAATAATTCATATAAAAAACATTACATTAATTTAAATTGAATGTCACTCTTATCTCTAAAATAAATATCCCATCTTCCCTATTGTTTACCATTTACATAGACCAACTAAAAGTGATTTAACTCTCTCTAATATTAATTTTCATAAAACTTACTTGTAGAAATTTTCAAATAAATCAACCCTATTATCTAACCCATTCTGTCATATTAACCGCCTCTACTAAGTTAATAATAAATTTCTACATTACGCTATTATTATTATAGATTTTCCATCCCCTTGATTTTTTATCTTTATTCTATTCTCCTAAATAAGTGACTTTTATTCTGACTAATTAATTTATGTTCAATAATTACTCAAAATAATTAGAACTTAAATCTAACCACAAGCCAATCTTCAAATTATCATAAAATCAGTCTCCACTTTCGAAATTTAGATAATAAAATAGTCTATATTATTTTAATTTCAATCCTAATATCTCCAAAATCCTATCCTTTTATTGTTTACATATTATCCAATCTGAAAAATTTTAGCTTTTCTAATTATTATATCTATATCATTACTCCCTATAATTTCTTTTTATTCCATACCATTATCCTTACTTTTCCCCATCTCCATTGTGTAGTATTTTTATTAGACAATCGATTATACTATCCTCTTACTTTTCTTAGAGTCTGTCTGTTCCAAATAGAGACCCATTTTCTTTTGATTTATTTATTCTCCAATCAATTTTAAGTTTTTGATTTGCTTAAATTAATCAATATATCAATTTATCAATAGTTTCATTAAATTGATATCGCTAAAAGTATAATTATAATTTATATTCTTATAAAGTTTCCCTCAGTTGTTATATAAATAATTTCATTATTTGTTGTTTAATAATTTTGCATATTTGTAACACCAATATAGACAATCCTGTTCAACTATGACTTTATAATCAATATAGAAATATATTGTTATAATATCGATTAACACATAAATTTATAATCAAAAGGAATTCAAATTATAAATAATACTAGTTGAAACATTATTATATTTAGTGATTATAATTATAATCTAAAATTCTAATTAAAAACATATTTAATAAGGAGAACAAGAATATCTAAATTATTAATCAATTCCGAATTCTACATATTTATTCAATTGTACAAAAAGGTTGAAGATTTAATAATTTACCCAATTATTATTATCAGAATTTTTTTCTATTTAATTTGATATCAACTTATTACTATTTAAATGATAATTTGGTGATTTCATAAGATGATTATTGCAAATTGCATTTCAAAAAAAAAATTATGAACTCATTTATAATTTTAAGTTTCATGTAATTTATTAAGTCTTTATCAAATTTATAATAGAAATAAACATTTATTATCAAAACAATATTGTGTAAATCCACTTTAGGCAAATAACTTCATAATTACCCATTTGATGCTCTATAAATAACTACATTTATTTCATTTTTGGTTGTAAATGGTTGTAATTATTTAATATTTCAATTGAACTGCAAATCTGATAACTTATTTATTTATAGATTCAATGATTAAATACAAATTATCTATAAATTTAATTATAAATAAAATTTGGATTGATAATTTTGGATTTATCTCACATTTAAATATTTCATTTTGATAAATGAATTTGAATTTATTGAAACCTATAAAATTTTAGATAAAAAGTCGAAACTTAAATTAAATTTTATTTATGATTGATATATTAATGTAAAATGATTACATTAAATTAATTGTACATATTCTATCAATATGTTGTTGATATCAAGCATTTTTGACTAAATTTATAGGCTTTTGTTATAATAAAAATTTCTAACTTAAATAAAGAAAATTCCATTTGGTAATGTATTATTATTTCTCCTAAAAAGTCTTTTTGCAATAAAAACAATTTAAAAAATTCAATTGGAATAAATAACTTATAGCATCTCTAATTGCAATTTTATTATATATTTATATTGTAATGATTTATTAAAGATTTTTAAGATCTAATTAATACAGAATTTACATCAATATGTCTGTATAAATGATATTTAATGGATAATTTAATTATTTAAAAAAATGTTTTAATGATAAATAAATATGATAATTTATATTCTAATCTTCTTCATTTAAGGGTATGAAAATTAGAATAAACATCTTCTTATTCAACTTAAAATGATTAGCTCTCACAAGCTGACTAGTTTAATTGGCTTAATTCAAACTCCTTATTATATAAATTTTCATTTTCTAAGAATTATTTTCCTTTATGTTCCAATCTGGCTTTTAATAAAGTTTCTTTTGCTTGTTAAGGTGATAATTTGGTATAATATGGGTTTTATAATTCTAAATGGGAGGCAATTATGCAAGAATAGAATCTATTTTTTATTTAGTTTTGCTGAACTAAATATTAAAACAGTATACCGTTCTTCCATTTAGTTACAAGGCTATCTTAGCCCATTTGGAACCTAAGCATATGTAATTTTAGTAAATAATTTCATCTTCTTCTTATGTAAATGGCTTCCTATTAAGATTTGGATTCAGACAATTATTGTATCTCTCCATACATTTCTTATTACTTTTCCCTGTGAAATGTTTTGAGATTTGATTCCATCTATTACCATAAGCTGCAACTAATTTTTAAAGTAAACAATCTTCTTTGATAGTCCATTTCTATTTTTTTTTTTTCTAATATTTTGAGATATTGATTACATTTCTTCCTATCAATCTTTTCCATCTTTAAATGCAAGAATTTGGATTTCTATCTGGAAAACTTTATGCCACTTTACACCAATTTGTTCCATATTTCCTAATAATTTTACGCAGTATATTATCTTCTTCTAGAGTCCACCTTTCTCTTTGTTGTTGAGTTTTCTTTTTAGATTTACTTGTTCTAGATTCCATTATAGGGCTGTGTTTTGTTTAATTTAATTTTTAGATATCATTTAGGTATTATATTCAAATTAGTTCGTTTTTTAAATCTATATTTTGTTTTTAATCTATTTTATATATCAAACACCTCAAAAGATATAAGCATCTGTAATCTTAGAGGAGATTCTTAAGTTTTTTACTATGATATTGTTTTTTAAGAGTAGAACTATATAGAAGATTTTGTTATTTCATATAAGAAAACAAAATAGATATAAGGATATTTTCCAATAATAGAATTAGTAGATTAAAAATGTTCAAGGATGTTTAAATTACATATATCATTATTATTGTATGGTATGGCTAAATATATCTCATTAGTTACATGTTAAATTTAATAAATATATATTTTTTCATGATAATTGTAGTTGGAAATTCTTGAAAGTTAAATCTAATTTAATTACTTACATATTGTAACTTCTTGGTTTTTAATTAAGATTTTATGAGATTAAAAGCTATTCCTTAATATTTAAAGTCCAATATATAGTATTTGAGTTTAATCTCTATATTAATATATAAACATTTTTTTAAAGAGCTAGTTATTATTTAATTACAAGAAATATATGATTTAGATTATGACTCAAGATTAGGAGCAAACTAATAGATTTTGAGAATTTTTCTTTAATAAAATTTTGAATGAAAAATAATTTTGTATTTCTTTTGCTCTTTGACTTATGAGAATGCTAAAATATTTAGTAAACTGTGTTCAAATTTAATAACTAAAATTAAAAAATGGAAACTTCCAATGTAGCTTGATATCAAACTCACAAAAATTTAAACTAAAATACAAAATAACATTTAACAAACTATCATCTTCATAAAAAAGTACAATTTCACAGACTAATCTTTAAAACATATAATTATCATCTAATAAGATATTTTCAAGTGTTCATTTATAATAGCCTTTTTGTTATTGATATTTTAATTAAATGAGTTGTCATGTAATTGATAACTTCTTTATATTAAGATATATATTATTTTATTTTATTTTATTTTATTTACTCTTCTTTAAGATTATAAATGGTATAGTCAGATATTTTAATCATAGTTTTTTCCATCATCAATTAATATTTATTACTTTGATAATTAGATGTTTCTTTTATTACAAATAATAAATGTTAGGATTCTATAACTCTATTTTTGATTCATTTATTATAGTATTATTCATATAATTTTACTTTATTTTATATTTTAGAGAAATTAAATATATATCAAAAATCAAAAATGATAAGAAAATATTATCACTTGTAAATCTCTTTACTGCATATAGATATTATAGATTTTTCAAGATTAAAACTCCAAAGTAGCTTCACTTTCTTAACTCTAAATACTATTTTATTGCATGAAATTTATAGAGAGTTCTATTATTTATAAACAATTCCTAATTATGGTTCTAAGCCTACATGAAATAATCTTTTATTTTGAAAAGAGAATTATATATATGATACTACTATAATAAAATTGTATTTTCTAAATTTATAGAAGATGATGCTTCTAATAAATAATGTGACTTTATTGATGATTTATCCATAAATATTCAATATTGATTTCATATAAGGAGCTATCCATTAGATACAAATTCATTATCCAAATATGAATTGCTACTATAAAATTTATTTATTTGCATTTTTATTTTACAAACAGCTAAGAATAAGGCTTGTTATTCAAAATCATATCAATTCAACTGATCTCCATTTTAAAAAATAATTAATTCTAAATAATTTCATGCTGATAAATCAAAAATGAGATTCCTTATTTTCGAAGAATAATTTTATAAAGAAGTAATTCTCTTCAAAAATTACTTCAATTGCTATGAACTTAGGGTATAAAATTTAAATTTTGAATTTGTTGCAAAATTTTATCATTCCAAAATAATTATTTAAAAAATTCTAATAAAATAGTATATATTTAATAATGAAAAGACATAGCATTGGGAAAACCTTTACAAAGTTAAAAGGATTGAATAAAGCTGATCCTGATGCAATAATCCCTGAGACCCCAAAATTAATAGAAGATTTTATAGAATCTCTTAATTCTCAGGGAGCTATTATCAATAAAGTTAAATATGCAATTTTTTAAACAAAAAATGGTTTAAAATATCCTGGTCTTATAGGTATGTATTTTTATGATTTTAGCAACTGAGAAAATTGAGCCAAATGATAATCTTGTTATATTACCAAGAGAAACTTTGTTAACAACAAAATAAGCATTTGAATCTCCATTAAAACCTATGTTTCTAGAGTTTCCATAATTCTTTAGTCCTAAATTTATGCCCAAATGGTAATATCATATAATTTTATCATTTTTACTTTATGAATACTAAAAAGGTACAGAATCAAAATGGCATCTACTAATCAATAATTTTCCTAAGGATATTGATTATGCAGTATTTTGGAAACGTGAGGATTTAGAACTATTATAAGATCAAAGAATGGTCAAGCATGCTATTGAAAAGAACAGATATTTGATAGCTACCTTTCAAACTCTCTAATACATTACTAGTAAATATCCTGATCTTTTTAAACCAGGGATTGTTACTATGGATAATATTATTTGGATTTACACAAGTATTGTTACAAGATGTTTTGGAGGTTAAGGGTTGAAATATGTTACTATGGTACCATTTTGTGAATTATTTAATCATGAAAATGCTGATGTTTGTTATGATCTCTAATAAAATGATGGAAGAACTAAATACAATTATGAGTTTATGACATAAAAAGTAATTAAAGGAGAGAAGGATGATGATGAATTATCAGTTTCATCTTTTGATAATTCATTATGTTCAGAAGATGACATTAGTGATTCTGAATATGTAACAAGTGATTATCATGAATACCAAGAATTTAATTTTGATGAATATTACGAAAAATCAATCAAAAATTTCACTAATAATTACAATTAAATGTTTGAAAAATTAAAACTCTAAAATGAAGACCAAGAATCTTTTAATAGAAAAATTAAAGAATAATAAGAATTTTAATTGAAGTTGAGAAAAGAATTGAATATTAAATTAAATATACAAAAAGATGTTTTCTAATTAGCCATCAATAGTAAAGCAATGCTATTTTAAAACTTAGATTTTGGAGATAATTTTTCTATTCTTTTTTTAGGATAAATTTTCCATATTTTGGATTAATCAATCAAAATGTATTTTTAAGAAGAACTATCTTCATTTAAAGCTAGAGAAATTTTCGCTAAAATTGAATAAATATGTAGTTGTTATTTAGATAATTGGTACACTTTTAATAATGTTGTTAAAAAAAATCCAGTCTAATAAAGAGTCAATTCATTTTCATAAAAAATAGTTAAAAGACCATCAAAAGTCATACCAACAGTTGAATCATTTTTAAAAATGCCTGTTGATAGAAGTTTCAATTATTATTAAAATGTTTGGGAAAATGAAAATTTTAAGAATCTACTTATGAGAACAAGAGATTACTTTGAAAAAGGATCATAAGTGTATTTCTGCTATAGTTAATTGTCAAATAGAATGATGATACTCAAATATGGAATGGCTTTAGAATACAATAAATTTAATAGTGCTTTTTTAAGAGTAGAATATTTAAAATATCTTCAAAAAAAGGAAGCCATTTGGATTGCTCATAGATTTAAATTAGATAAATTTAAAAGATTTAAGTTAAAATTTATAAAACCTCCTTATGAGTTGATTATATTTTGCAAATTAGTCTATTGGTAATATCTTTTCAAAAATCTTTATTAGGGATTTAAATATACATACTGTGGAAACTATTTTTTAAATCCAAGATTTGAAACTAGAAAAAAAAGCATTAAATTTAGCTCTTGAAATTATGGATGAAGAAAACTCAAAATTCACAGAAAAAATTGAAGATCTTGAATAATAGCTTAAAGACAAATCCTTAGGGTACCATGAATATTTTGCTATAGTTTACAGATTAGAAAGATTAAGAATATATCGATATAATATAAAGTATTTAATATATTAAAACTAGTCTTATCAACATTATGATAATTGCAATTGATAAAATCATCAATGGAGTTCCATTTGAATAGGCAATTGAAAAAACAGAGTTTGATTTTGATTTTTATCTAACAAATCGCCACACATTAAAGAAATATTTTGATGAATTGAGATGCGCTCTATATTAATCAAAATGATTTTATTTTAGTGCTAAGATACATTTTAATTATGAATAAGCTACTAAAGAAATTAACAAATCTCAAAATATAGAATTTCTATAAAATCTTAATTTTAGTTATTTCATTCTCTTAATATAAATAACTTACTTCTATAACTAATAATTATACTTGATTTTAATTAAAGTATTCATAATTCTTTTTGATTAAGAGGAGACAATGTATTTCTATTCATAAAAATCAAATATTTTGATTAATCAATAAGAAGTTAATTAGTTATGAAATATTTTTATTAATTTTGAAATTTATAATAAAAAATCTAATATAGGTATTTATTAATATCTATAAATTACATATATTCTCTTGAAAAAAAATTTATTACTAGTATATATAGTAAAATTTCTAATAGAAAAAATCAAAGGAATATAAAATGCTAATAAGGATTAATCACTTTTTCATTTAAAGATATTCTTATGAAAATTGAATCTATCAAAAGGCTTAAAATCAATTTATTATTGTTGAACAATTTTCTTCTTCAATTAACTAACAAAAATCAAAAAAAATATGCAAATAATTAATTTATTGTTGAAATCATTTTAATAATAGGACTCATATGTGTAAAAGTGCAAATTTTTCACGAAGGAATTAAGTTGAAAAATTCAATTTAAATTTAATTTTTATAAAATTTAAAGTTACAAATGATATATACAAATATTACTATGAGAAAAATTAAATTTCTAGATAATAGATTATTTGAAACTAAATATGTAAGTTTCCAAAAGACTAAATTAAAAAAAAAAGATTTTAATTAAAGTTTTTGATTTTTGAGTGAAACAATGATAATCATTAAATGAATAAATATATAATATT